TCAGTAATTGGTGTTCTTAACAAAATATGCTTTAGTGAAGAGGTGGAGGTGAAATCTCTATTACAATGGTTGAAAGGTGAATGGAAGTGAAGGAATAGAAGCAGTGAATATAGATAAACACTTTTGGGACCTCTGGGTGAGAAAGAAGGAAAGGTGAGAGGGTAACAGGAGACACTTCTAGGAAACTAGAGGAGGCTCAAGGATCAAAGGAGAATATTTATTTTAAGAATGGAAGAGCCTTGAGTATGTTTATAAGCTGAGGAGAATGATTCAGTAGAGATAGAGAGCTGTAAGGTATTGGAGAAAGAAAGAAAAAGTGATAAGGTCACATCTCTGAGCGGCTGGGTGAAACAAAGATCAGGAGCTCAGATGGAAGATTTAGTTTTACAGTCTGTGTGAGACTGGAGGGATACAGATATAATATGGGAGTGGATGTAGACTGTTGGTGAGAAAAATTCATGTTACCTTCCATTTTTTTAAGGAATGTGAGTAATGAAGTTATCAGTTGGGTGGTGGGTTTGGTGAGTACATGATAAAGTCATCAGTCATAGTGGAGAATGGTTAAGATTTGGAATAATAGCTGAGGATAATTGGAGAGGGACTGACCAAGATAAAGTAAAAAGATTGCCAAGTGGTGCTAAGATGAGAAACTAAATCTGTGGTGATATCAGTTTGCATTAAAAGGTCAGTGATTTTCTTCAGAGGAGCTGGAATGGAAATAGTGAATAAAAATGAAGAACTATAGCACACAGACATACAGGGTGCAAGTGTTTGGATTTCTAGGAATTACTCCAATTATAGAGGCCCTTTATATTATAATTCAGGATGAAATCATCCAAGGAGCTTTCTCAGAAACTTTATCCAAAGTCTATCCCCAATTCTGTACCCTCTTACTTAAATACATCTATCAATTTATGATATTTCATTTATGTTAACTGTTATTGTCTCTTCTTGCATTGTTAGATTATAAACTCTTTGGGGCTGGGGAACTACCTAGCATTTGTGCCAGATCCCCAAACAAGTGTTAATAATAGTACCTTGCCCTTAACAAAGACTCTCTCCTTGACTAAACTGGAGTCAGGCTCTTCCGAGCCCTCTCAACTAAGCCCTGACCTTGGGCTCTGTTCTTGGCCTTCTTAGTTCAGTTTTAGAAAGAATTCCACTGAGTCAGTTTAGTGAAAATTCTCGACCCTTGATTTCTGATAACCCTGGATATATGATCAGATTCCTCATCTCCCATTCTCCCTATCTTATCATCCAGGTCTGCCTTTAGCAAGAATTTTGTTGAGTTGGTGTAGCAAGAATTCCCCTAGACTTAATGTTTACTCTTACCACAGTAATTTTCCATCCACTGATCCCCACCTTGCTCCTTAGTTATAAATCCTCACTTGTCCTTGTTGGAGTCAGAGTTGAGCCCCATCTCTCTTCCTTACTGCAAAACATTATCATGGTGGTCCTCCTTGAATAAAGTCTTCCTTACCATCTTTAACAAGTGTCATAAAAAAATTTTCTTTAACACCATATTTAGCCATCAAATATAGACCTTTTTCAAAGTCTTTGACATGGGATATAAGGCATTTTACAATTTGTCCCCAACCTACTTCTATACTCAACACCGTTATACCCTTATGCTGCCCAGCCCCTAAATAAAGATATAATATGTGTAAGTCAACCTTTTTTACTTTTTCTGAACACGTCATCAACTTTGACATTTTCTGGGCTTTTGAACATACTTTTTCCTTTTTGCATAGGCTATTCTTATTGCCTTCTGGCAAACTCCTACTTATCTGTTAACACCCAGAGCAATGTCACCACTTCTGTGACTTTTTGTTTTCTTTTTTTGAGACAGAGTCTCACTCTGTTGCCCTGGCTAGAGTGCTAAGGCGTCGGCCTAGCTCACAGCAACCTCAAACTCCTGGGCTCAAGGATCCTTCTGCCTCAGCCTCCCGAGTTGCTGGGACTACAGGCATGCGCCAACATGCCCGGCTAAATTTTTCTATATATTTTTAGTTGTCCAGCTAATTTCTTTCTATTTTTAGTAGAGATGGGGGTCTTGCTCTTGCTCAGGCTGGTCTCGAACTCCTGGCCTTGAGTGATCCTGCCTCAGCCTCCCAGAGTGCTAGGATTACAGGCATGAGCCACCGTGCCCGGCTGACTTTCTTATTTATTTAAGAAGGATTTCCTCTTGATCTACTAGGTGCATCTACTGTGCCAGCACAGAGTTTGGTTTCTGAAGAACCCACTGACTTGTAATTGTAAAGGTAAATAAAAGTGAATAAGGGAGAAAGAGACTATTTTATTTCCTGCCCCTTAGCTTCTTAGAGTATCTCTTTGGGGGACATAGTGAATCTTTATTCTTTTTCTAACTTCTGGAATATGAACAATTCTCCAGGGACTAGACAGTCTCAGTTTCCAGTGTTACAATGCACACGTCTCCAAAGTGAGGAGTCATATTTCCCTTTGAAATGTAAAGGCATGTCTTCAAGATTATGTAGAAGCCCATCTCAAAGTGTTACCATTTGTCTTTTAGGAAGACTAGAGGTGTCTTTCTGGAGGTAAGAGAAGTTTTATTTCTCTTTTGAAATAAGTCCATTAATTAAACAAATACCTACCTCAATTCCCAAGTGAACTTTCTATTTGCTTTATTATATACATTGTGTGGATTTTTTCTTGAATTTGTAATCTCTTTAAGGCTACCTATATGGATATACTATGTTGTGCTTACTAAATAATAAATCAGCTTTCTTTTTAAAAAAATTTTCTTCTTTTTAGAGATGGGGTCTCACTATGTTGGCCAGGCTGGTCTCTAACTCCTGGCCTGAAGGGATCCTCCTGCCTCAGCCTCTGGAGTAGCTGGGATTATAGGTGTGAGCAACCATATCCAGCTATACATCATCTTTCTTTCTTTCCATATTGATATGGATAGGTCTTCTTATTGGTAGGAGTTTTTACTTTGCCAACAGTAGAGGCAGATAGATTGCTGTGGGTAAAGGAGCTCAGATTTTGTCTTGAAATCCCAGGAAAAATATATTTAAGGAGTTTACATACAGCAGCACAATTCTGTATGTAGAAAGGAACACAGAAGAATTAGACTAGCAACATTTTATATATTTATTACTCTATTTCACTGTAAACATAATACATATGTACTACCAAATGTAATGAGTTCAATAAGTAGACAGAGAACACAGGCTTTATGTGATTAAATACAGGTCTCAGAAGATATAAGCAAATTCTGTCAAGTCTGTTCCTGTGAGTTATTGATGGTCATTGGAAAAGGCTGAACACTAGGGAATTGTCTTCCTTTGAACCTATTATAAAAGGCATGTTTGTACTACATGGAAGGAAAGGTATGAGCTGTGTGAGAACCCTATCCAACCTCATTGCCACATTCACAGCTGTAATACACATTCCCCATGTTATTCTCTTCCCCATTAATTATGGCTTGCTGATTATCTCCATCAGATGCTTCTATAATGTTTAATTAGTCCTAGAGTGATTCACTCTTTCAGTTTTCCAATTGTTCTTTTCCTTCTTCAATATTTTCTGGCTGGTCCTCATGAAGTTTCATGTTAGGATTACAGTCCATTTGAGCTTTCCATGAAAGTTTCAATTAGCACTTCTGGGGCTTCTCAGAGTTTTTACACATGGTACAGCTATTTTTACACTTCTTAAAATGTTTAAATATTTTACTAAATAAACATCCAGCAGGGCAAATTTTGTATGTTTATGCATTGTATTAAGTTCAAAATTAGTGGCATATTTTTATCATCAAACATTACAGGAACTCTAAGCCTAATTTCAAAAAGATGTAAATCAGCCTCCGGAAAATTGCATAAGTTTTGTATATACTCACTGCCTACACGTTAATTCTCAGTGTAAATATTTTAAAATTAATATGTGTAGTTTTGGAAGGATCACTGGATATTTACACGTTCATTAACTGGAGGGTTCATGTATATTTCTTACCCCAGTGAACCTTGAGGAAACATATCTAAGCGCTTTATAGATCAAGCTGTATCTCAGACACTGCAAGAATGGGTCTGTGGCTGGGTGACTAAGGGGAAGTGTGGAAGGAGCAAGGGCTATAAAAATAGAGGCAAGATCTTACAGGACTTTGAATGTTAAGCTAGGGAGTTTGTACTTTCTCCTTTATTACAGGCAATAAGGATCTATTGAAAAATAACTAAGTACTTACTCTGTGCCAGAGTAAGTTATGTATTTAAATGGTTTATATGCACTCTCTAATTGAATTCTATTGTACTATTCTATAACTACTATAATTATCCCTATTTTACAGGTGAGGAGGCAGATTCAGAGAGGTTAAGCATCCTAGCTCAAGGAAACAGAGCTACTTGGTGGTGGAACAGAAATTCCATTTTGACTGTAATTCCAAAGCCCATTCTCTAAATCAGAGGGAAGTGAAAGTAGATTTGCATTTTATAAGGATCACTCTGGTAGAAGTATGATAATGGGAGACGAGTCTAATGGCAAAGGCAGGGAGATCAGAGAGGATGTTGTTGCAGTATTCAAGAACTTTTAGGCCCTACTAAGGGGATTGTCCTATAACCATCTGAGTTATGAAGACGAGTGACATGGTTAGTGAAGTTATTTAGAAAACTCTTCTGGCAGCCCTGTGAAGAATGGATTGGAGGAAGCAAGACTAAAGGCAGCGAGATAAGTAGGAAGGTTGTTGGGACTGTCACTCTCAACCTCCGAGGTACCTATCTAGGAGTTGGGAGACGGTCGTGTCCCCAGTCCCCAGACCTTTTTCGAATTTCAGAACACCCTGGACCTCTCCTACCCACCCTTCCTCTGACGTCGCTCCATTTAGGCCCTACGAAATGAGGTTTTATGCACTTTTCTAGGACGCAGACCCGCTGGTCCGAGCTCCGACAGTGGCGCCAGCGGTGGCTGCGGTTGCCGGCGGGGGTGGGGCGCATGCGCGCGGTTGCTAGGCAACGGCGGTCGGGGCTCAGCGGCGGTATAGGCGCCGGGGCTGTGTGTGTAGGCAGCGGCGCCAGAGGAGGAGGAGCACGAGGATGCAGCTGCGACCGCGGCCCCAAGAGGGAGCCGCCGCTGCTCTGTGGCCTCTGGGGCCAAGGGACAGCAGTCGGGCCTGGGGGTCGCGTCGCTGAGGGGGCTGGGGCGACGGTCCCGCCAGAGGCTCGGGCCTAGTATCCCTGGAGGGTCCGGGCCGCTGGGCGAGGGCCTGCCCCCCATTGCTTCCCCTCGTCCCTCCACGTCGATGGTGGTGAAGTTGGTGGCGCCAGGGAGTGGAAGGCACCAGTCTGTCTCCCCTTGCACTCATCTGCTCTCTGGCCGCAGCTCTTGGACACCTGCGCTGCCGCCGCCTCCTCTCGCCCGCCGAGACCACCCCCGGCGGCGGGCGGGGGAGGGGCTCCCCCCTGCAGGGGCTGCGTCGAACAGGGCGACGACGGGAGACGGGACCGTAGGAGAGTAGGGTGAGTAGTGGCAACGCACTCGCCTGATGCTGGGGCGCCTTTCCGGCCTCTGGGCCCGGGAAGCGAGCAGCGAAGCGTGGCTTTCTCCTGCAGAAGCTTCTGATGCCTCTTTTACATCTGCTCGCGGATCTTTATTCCCTTTGAGGTAGTTTTCCTTCTCAGAGCTACCACTTTCTGATCTCAACCCCGGCGTCCAAGAATGCAGGGTGGGTGCTTAAGGCCTGGCTTTCCTGCTTAGATGCCATAGATGCTAATTCTGGGTATGGTCACGCAGTCTGGTCCCTGATTCAGGGACCGACTCTACCAGTGCCTTGCTCGCCCCTTTCCCCTTGCTCTGACTTTCGCTATCGGGAGGTTCACCCTGACCACAGGCTTCTCAAGAGCCCATTCCCTGGGCTGCTGTCGCTCCATGCCTCAAGGGTTGAACAGATAGCTAGAGTGGCCCCTTACTTTTCAGTGTTGTTGCACTCCTGTGCCAAGAGCTTCTGAAAGCTTTGTGCCTGGCTTCTGACTCCTGACTACTGACATACAAGAGTTAGGAAAATAGTACTTATATTTAATAATAATAAAACAAACTAGCAACATATACTCCACTTGACTTCCAAAGTGCCATCAAACTTGAAGAGAAGTAGGCAAAGAGTGCCTGATTGATAACAGGGGAAACAGATTTTACGAACTAACTACTATTCATCCAGAGTGACATACTTCTTTTTTTACAAATATGATGATTAACCTAAAATGTCCCTAATAAAAGAGAGCATGGGTTGTGATTTATCTCTTCTTCCTGAGGTAGCCTACAGTTGAAAATAGTTGCCTCTAGAAAATATTGGCATGACATACCTGAAATGATATTTTGGACAAGGTGATTAGATGAGGATCTAAAATTGTGAGGTCCTTTTTTGAAAATTAATAATATTATCTTTGATGAATTAGGTTGTTTCCTTAAAAACAAATGGTTGAAAAATATTACAGTTCACTGCTGATTCCTTTCAAAAGTTGACCGAATTTAAAATAATTAGTTATTTTGATTGTTAGGATACTTCTGTGAGCGGACAATAACAGATAGGTTCCTTCTTTTATTTGGTTCTCTTGCCTCCCTACTGGTTTTTAAGCCATTTCAGGTTTCTTTTATCTAAAAGAAGTGTGAAAAAGAAGTGCAATAATGGAAAAGCTAAATTTAGTTTTTGGTAAACCCTTTTGAGCTAAAGATTTTTTTAAAATGATATAGATGTCATTTGTGATTAGATGACTTTATTGAATTAATCTCTCAAGACTGCCAACTTTCTGATAGTTTTGGGCAAAATGCTTTGTTTTCACAGCTTTCATGTTGTTTCAGGTTCTTTTGTGTATGGTTTAAATTAAAGCACAGTGTAATTCTAGTGCCACTGCAAAATAATCTTGGACCTCAGTGAGTATTGTTTTGTTTTGTGCATTAGCAAACTGACATGCTTCTAGTTGCTAGATGCCAAAGTTAGAGATATTTTTGTTTTGGAAAAGCTTTTGATGAATGCAAGTCTGAATTATTTGAAATAATAATGTATCATGTGAATACTTCCTCTTTACCTTCACATATTTTAAGAACTGAGCAGTAATTTGAATCCAATTTAGTTTTCTATTGTAATGAGTATGGCTGTGAAGATGCCACATATGCAAGAGCATTTACCTAGGGTGTCATAACCACATAAAATAATATTGATAGCTCATTTTGCAAGTGCTGTCAAGGTACTTGATCAGTAAACTCTGGAATGAAATTTATTTATTTATTTTTAAATTTCAGAATATTATGGGGGTACAAACATTTTGGTTAGATATAATGCCCTTGCATCACCCAAGCCAGAGCTACAAGCATGCCCCTCCCCCATGCAGTGCACTCTGCACCCACTAATTATGAGTTTTCCTATCCCCACAACCTCCCTCCCACCCGCCCAGCACCCAATGAATATTACTTCCGTGTGTACACGTAAGTGATGATCAGTTAGTACCAATTTGAGGGTGAGTACATGTGGTGCTTGTTTTCCCATTCTTGGGATACATCACTTGGAAGAATGTGCTCTAGCTCCATCTAAGATAATACAAGAGGTACTAGTTCACTACTGGTTTTTATGGCTGAGTAGAACTCTGTGGTATACATATACCACATTTTATTAATCCACTCATATATCGATGGACACTTGGAATGTTTCCTCATCATTGCAATTGTGAATTGTGCTGCTATAAATATTCAAGTGTAGATGTATTTATTATAGAATGACTTTTTTTCCTTTGAGTAGGTGCCAGGTATTGGGATTGCTGGATCAAATGATAGTTCTATTTTTCATTCTTTGAGTTATCCCGATATTACTTTCCATAGGGGTTGTACTAACATAATAGGAGAAAATATTTACATGCTACACATGTGATAAAGGGCTGATAACTAGAATCTACATAGAACTTAGGAAATCAACAAGAAAAATCAAACAACCTCATTAAAAAGTGGGCAAAGGACATGGACTGAATCTTTGCAAAAGAAGACAGAATAATGGCCAACAAACATATGAAAAAAATGCTCACCATCTCTAATCATCAGGGAAATGCAAATCAAAACCACAGTGAGATATCACTTATCTCCAGTGAGAATGGCCTTTATCAAAGTCTCCAAACTAGAAATGTTGGTGTAGATGTGGAGAGATAAGAACACTCATAGACTGCTGGTGAGATTTATTTTTAAGTCATTTTCAACAAGTTTTTATTTTTTATCTTTTACTTAGTGCCCACTACTATACAAGGTATTGTGGAGAATAGAACAGAAACAGGTCCCAAGAGTTAAATTGCTTACCATTTGGGAAAGAAAATACGTATATGAGACATCATGGCCAATAATTGGAACATAAGAGTAATTTTGAGTACAGAGAGATCACTGGAGCCTGGGGTTTGTCGTAGAAGGCTTAATAGAAAAAGTCAGATTTGGTTTGGTTCTTCATAGATCTAAAAGGGTGGAATTCAGCATAGCATGAGCTAAGGTACTTGATTTTCTAATCCTTATGTGTTTAATTCTCCTGGATAAACCTAAAGGAGGGAGAGACTATCAGTGGAAACTAACTCTTTTGGAGTAGGCATAGTTTTCTATGATAAATTACATACTAAATAAATATAAATAGTTTTACAAATGTATATGTTATAGAAGTCAGACTTAAAAAATAATCATCTGATTTCCTGGGGCAAGTAAGAATGTTTTCTAAGAAGATATACAGTATTAAGCTCACATATTTTTATAATCTGTACAGTTTTTACTGTCTACTAAGAGACAGAATCTTAAGAGTTTCATATAAAACTAGTCTGATTAGTACAACCTTAGATTATTAATATGGTCCAAAGATTATTTCTTGATAAAATATATTAGGGAAATTCTATAAGCAACATGCATTTTGGTTCATTAAAGTATATGATAAGTTAGTTTTTCATACTACCATGTAGTACTATTATTGCTATTGTTTTCTGAAAACAAAGGGAAGTTGAAGTTCTAATATAATGTTATTAATAATGCCTGTGTTAATAATTGGCAGCTAACATCAGTGTTTAAACGGTAATTACAAACCTCTGCAAAACTTATTTCAGTGCATTTCTAACAACTTTCTGTTGTATTGAGAATTAGTTACATGACTAATGGGTTTTAGTCAGCCATTATAAGTTGATGTTTATATACAGAAAAATAACAAAACACACTGCAATTATATCAAAAGAGAGGTATGTCTCCCAACAGAAATTCACATATTTGAATTCTAAATACAAAGATTTAACAGATTTACTCTCTGGAACAATATACCTAAACTTGAATTTTTTTAGGCTTCTATACACTATCTTGTACCTTTTATTTGGTATCTTTTTCTGCCAGTAATAGTCGTCTTTGATTAAAGTTATTACTGACAAATTTTATTTCACAGTAGCTAATAGTTTTTAGGCTCAACAAATCTAATTGTTATTTTAAGCATCCTCTACTTAGAACCTCAGTTATTGATTAAATAGTTAATAAACAAGTTATGAGTTAGATAACAGAATGGTCTTCTCAGAGACAGTCAACAAATAGCTATGATTATTATTGGAAATTAACCAGTTAACAGATAGAAAAATATGTTCAGAAGGCATTGAGGTAAATCTCCTTTGCTAAGCAGGTATTGCACATTTCTATCTTAGCTGCTTATGCCTATATCAAAAGAAGATCTTCAGAAAGAGAACTGGTGAATTAAAATGATGGGGAGACTGTTGAGAAAATTAAAATTACCTTATATGTCAAGTTCTAAGTCCTACAGTGGTTTAAGGCAGGTTCTTAGTTAAATTGCTAAACCTTAGTGGTGGCAGCATGTGAAATAGGGCAAGGAACTGTCAGTTTCTATTATAATAGAGTCATCATTTTCAATATTTTTACCTAATTACTAAGTGTCAAGGCAAAACAGCATTACACTGAGTACCAGTGATGTATCAATAAATTGTAATTTTCCTTAAATATGTAGTTTTTAAAGTGTAACCATATTCTAAAATATGATATTTATTATGTCAATGGACCCCAAATTTTCCCACCTGAGCACATATCTAGATTTTTATGATGCAAGTTTATGGGATAAAAGGCTTTTACCCAACAATTCTTTTCAGAGCAGATTTTCCTGGAACATAACTTTTTTCTCTAAATGAAAGATATCTGAAGCCAATTCAATGTAGGAAGAAAAATGGAGAGTAGAATTCCTTCTTAAAGTATGGTACTTATACACAAAATGAAAGAAAAACTTTCATACACAGCTATAAACTAATATTCAAAGGAAATGCCTTACACAGTTATTCTCTTAATATCATTTCTTATGAATTGTTAACTCTTTTTAAATTATTGGCATCTACAAGTTCTCCTGTGGTCTGATTAGTTCTTATTTTCCTAGTGACAAATGTACCACTGGGATTTGATAAGGAGATTAATTTTGTTATTGATGGGATTCTACTGTAATAGAAGGTTTTTTTAAGAATTTTTTTTTTGA